GATGTGAGGGTGATGTGAGGGTGATGTGAGGCTGATGTGAGGGTGATGTGAGGGTGGTGTGAGGGCGATGTGAGGGCGATGTGAGGGCGATGTGAGGGTGATGTGAGGGTGATGTGAGGGTGGTGTGAGGGTGATGTGAGGGTGGTGTGAGGGTGGTGTGAGGGTGGTGTGAGGGTGGTGTGAGGGTGATGTGAGGCTGACGTGAGGCTGATGTGAGGCTGATGTGAGCGTGATGTGCACCCTCTGCACCCACAGGGCTGGAGGCCGCGTGGGAGCCGGGGCAGCCTGGCTGTGTTGGTGGGGACCTTCCCAGGGTGAGGACCTGCCGGGAAGGTGAAGGAGCAGGGTGGGGCTCTGTTGCAGCTTCGTGGCTTCCGGCACCTGAGCTGGCTGCTGGCAGTGAGGGTGAGCCCTGGGCATGTTGGGGTGCTGAACCAGGAGACGTGGCTGCGGCCACTGCCCCAGCACGAGCAGCACTGGACAGGAGCTGCCAGCCTGGCTTTCTGCTGGGACAAGAGGCAGAGAGCCCTGGCACGACCCTCATCTACAGCATCTCTGCTGGATTTTGGGGGATTTGAGCCTGGAGGACAACTGAATCCTCAGGCTACCACTACCTGGGGAAAACTTGGTGTACAAGACCCAAAGCTCTGCTCAGAGCCCAAAACCTCATCTTTTCTGCTCTTTGCTAGGCTTTGCTTGGGTCATTGCCCTGACTGACTATGCTGAAGGTAGTGAGGGATTGTTTCTCAAGCCATAAATTATTTTTTTCACTCTTCCTTTATCCAAAACCATTTTATGGGAGCAGAGACACTCTGCACCCAGTTGGCTCCTGGTCTGAGGGCCCGATACCTCACACACACCCATGAGCCAAGGGTGAGCCAGCCCTTTGCTATCAGAGGAACTTCACACATGCGGCCAGGGAAGAGCATATGTAAGTGCCCTTGGATTCCCCAGCTAATTGGAATCCTATGGGAGAAGCAGAGGGGAAAAACCAGCAGGAAGGGAGTGAGCATGCATGTCATGGTGCAAACACAGTGACTCAAGAGATGCACATGTCCACATAAGGGGCCCAATTAACAGTGTTTTAATAATGATTATTACAGGAGTTGACTAAGTGCTCAAAAACACTTTGAAGCTGAGAAGTGCTGCACTTTACACCTGTTATTAAAATATGTTCCCACTTAGTGGACCCTGCAGTCAGCATCTCCTCATGTGCAGCACCCCGGAGGTGAAGTTTTGCTCAGACAGACACCTGCCAGAGGGAGGGCCTCATGTTTATTATCTGAGTTGAATCAAACATCCCTACTTTGCAAGTCACCGTTCTTCTTTCCTTCTGATGCATTTTTAGCGCCTGCGGCAGACATTTACAGGGCAGAGGGCCTGGGATATCTAATTTTGCTCTAATACTCTTCTTTCTAGGCAGTGGAAATGACCAGGGAAAGCTGGTTTTGATGTTCTTTCCCCTCTCTCTCTCAGGAAAGTAGACTTTCACATATGAGACCCCCAAGAGCTCCCTGGCTTTGCCCTCTGCCCCCTAAACCAGACAGACCTGAGAACAGGCTCCAAAAGGTACTTGATGGATTGAGCATCCACACACTTAATTTAGGGGGCAAGACTGTGAGTCCACTGCTCAGTCACTGTCCACACTATGAGTCCACAGACACACCAGGACCCTTGGGGTGCCCGGGCTCACCTGCCCACCATGCCAGGCACACAAGTGCCCTTTCAGAGCACACAAAACAAACCAACAGCCCTTCACACACTGGAGTCTCTCCACCAGCACCAGCAGTTCCATGTGGAACAGGTTCACTGGCTCTTTAAATCCAGCTCCATGAATAATTTACTCCTCTCTTGCAATTCATCAAATATTTATCCTCCCCATGCATTTCCCAGCCTGGACATGTCACTACGAGGGTGGAAGCAAGGGCTGGGGAATTACTGCTCCTGGAAACTCGGCATTGCCAGAGTACTATCAGATCCCTTCTCTCCTTTTCTTGGCTTCATGGCTCCTCAGCCCTGATCTCCTGCCTTCCCCCTCTTCATCACCCATCTTTGAAACCTTTTTCTGCTTCTATAAGAGATGTCAAAGGCTGTGGCTCAAAAGTCCTGAAGGGTTTGTGGGTTTTTTGGCCTTACAGAGTTTCAAACCTATTGATTAACTTGCTGAGTTTGCCAATGAGCTCAAGGTTGTGCTTACTGTGTTTCTGTAAATTTAGTGAAAACATGTTTATGATGGAGTTTGCTGTTCATGCTCCCACAGAGAAAGCTGAGTGCACCTCATAGCAGCTTTCAGGGAGTGAAGTTGGGAAGTTCATGCTCTGGGTGCAAATAATCTCCAGCTTAACCCCTGGACAGGCTTTATTGCTTTTCTAAAGCCTAATGATTGCAAACGTGGCATTACACTGACTGGGCAGTTCCTCTCTGTCTCTGCTGCTCCTTGGACAGTGTTCCAGGCAGGCAGTGGGGTCCCTGTGTGGGGATGAATGTGCTGGATGAGGCTGTTTCTGGGGTTTGGGCGTTTGCATGAAGTGAAGAAGGTGCAAAGCAGGAGGGTAAAGAAGTCCCTCTGCTCCTGTGGTCCCCTGCTCCTTCCCTGGAGAAGTTTTTGGACTCTTTGAAGTCAGAGAAGCCATAGCTCAGAGCACATGGGATTTGGGAGAGGGTTCTGGGCTCTGCTGCTCCCAGCTCTTGTCAACACAGACCCTAAAGCAGTGAGGAGTTAAGTAACCTTTGCTGAAGGTCTGAAGTGTGCATTTAAGGAGTTGAACCTGATGATATTGGTGGGTCACTTTCAGCTCTCTATGATTTGCTTTCTGCACTCCTGGTGTCACCATGGACTGAGGTCTGTGTGGAGGAGGAGCAGTGCTGGGTTCCCCTGGAGCTCTCTGAAAGGGTGGTGTGGGAACAGGCAGGAGCTGTGCTGAGCCAGAGCTCTGCCAGAGCCCTGCTGCCCACGAGGAGCTGCTCCTGAGGGTGGTGGAGCTGCCCAGCCTTAATAAAAGGCTTTGCCATATCCATGTGCACGGAGGGAGAGCGCTCTGTTGACAGATACTGCTGCTGGCTGCATATCATTAGCACAGCTCGGGAGAGGGCTGGGCCAGCAGGGGTGTGAACTCTCTCCCGTTTCACCTGAGCACAAATACAGAGGAATGCCAGACTTCCCTTGGATCCCAGGTTTGTGTTTGTCCTGGCACAGGGGGCAGGAGATGCAGGCAGGGGGTTGTGTCCTGCCAGCAGCTCGCTGGGGCAGGGGCTGGCACAGTGTGAATGGAGATGCCACTGGCAGTGTCCAGCTCCTGAGGAGTGCAGAAACCTAATCTGCACTTTCTCTGAAACTGGATTCTCTGGATGTGCTAATACCAGCGTGCTTCCAGCTGTGCTATCGAGACCAAGCATGGTACAGCAAAATCTCCCTCAAAACCCCAATGCCAAAGCCAATGACAGCAAAATCACTCTTATCCTCTCATGCCAACGTTCCTCTTTGTGCCACAGATTTCCCCAGGTGCCAAGGAACAGCTGGGTGGGAAGGCACAGCAGCTGAGGGGTTTCAGAACCATTGCTGAGGATGGATGTTTCATGGTGGGATCCCAAGGTGTCCTACCCAGGATGTGGCATACAGAGAGGCATTTGGCATGCCCCCCACAGAGGCTGAATGAAGCCAAGTTCTGAAGACAGATTCTGACTAGAATTAAATAGGATATTTGAAATTTTACTACAAGCTTAAGGTCTGAGATGGCATTAGACCCGTTGTCTCAGTTCTGGGCTATTCAGAACCTGACTTGCCTTTCTCAGAAGTTGGTTTGATGTGGGAACACATTTTTGTTGAGACCTAAATCCAAGTCACATTGCCACAGCCTTGCACGTGGGGCATGTGATTCCATGTCAGTAGTACACCCCTCCAGAAGACCCCTCTAAAATTAAGTTGCAGGAACCTTAGGTGCATAGCTTGATATTTCAAGCAAGGAGGCAGCAGTTCATGGTGCTGATTTGCCCCTGCACAGCTGGGAATGTCTCAGTGAGGTCTGTCATCAATCCCTGCATGCTAACCAGTTGATTTTCTTGCTGCCTAGGGGTGATCCAGACAAATGTGACATCTGGGGGAACACCCCCCTCCACCTGGCAGCAGCCAACGGCCACCTGAACTGCCTCTCCTTCCTCATCTCCTTTGGGGCCAACATCTGGTGCCTGGACAATGACTACCACACCCCGCTGGACATGGCAGCCATGAAGGGGCACATGGAGTGTGTGCGGTACCTGGACTCGATTGCTGCCAAGCAGAGCAACCTCAACCCCAAGCTGGTGAGCAAACTGAAGGACAAGGCCTTTCGGGATGCAGAGAGGAGGATTAAGGACTGTGTGAAGCTGCAGAAGAAGCACCACGAAAGGATGGAGAAACGGTACAGAAAGGAGATGTCAGATAATTCGGATACCATGAGCTTTTCCAGCTATTCCAGCAGCACCTTAAGCAAGAAGTTCCAGCACATGTCTATGGTGACTTCCCTGCCATATTCACAAGCCACCATCCACGGCACAGCCAAGGGAAAGACGAAAATACAAAAGAAACTGGAGAAGAAGAAGCAGGTGGACGGGACCTTCAAGATCTACGAGGATGGCAGGAAAAGCGTGCGGTCTCTGTCTGGCCTGCAGCTGGGCAACGATGTCATGTTTGTGAAGCAGGGCACGTACGCCAGCCCGAAGGAGTGGACGCGCCGCAACATCCGCGACATGTTCCTCACGGACGAAGACACCGTCTCCCGTGCCATAAGCGACCCAGGTTTGCACATGGACTCGGCCCACTCCGAGGTCAGCACCGACTCCGGACACGACTCCTTGTTCAACCGCCCCGGGCTGGGCACCATGGTGTTCCGGCGCAACTACGTCAGCAGCGGGCTCTTCGGCATCGGCCGCGAGGACGGCGCCGCGCCGGGCGAGGACGGCGCTGACGGGATGGGCGTCAGACTGCGGAGCCGCCTGCAGCGCTCGCCAAGTCTCAACGACAGCATTGGCAGTGCCAACAGCCTGCAGGAGAGGAACGCCGAGGAGCTGCCCTGGGATGAGGTGGAGCTGGGCTTAGACGATGACGACGAACCGGACACCAGCCCCTTGGAAACTTTTCTGGCTTCCCTGCACATGTTTGAATTCATCTCCATCCTGAAGAAGGAAAAGATTGACTTGGAGGCCCTCATGCTGTGCTCAGACCATGACCTGAAGAGCATCAATATCCCTTTGGGCCCCAGGAAGAAGATCGTGGATGCCATCCAGAGGAGACGACAAACGCTGGAGAAGCCAGATGTCATTGTAGACACTGAACTGTAAGTGGGAGATGGGGTGTCTGAGGGGTTAAACCCTTCAGCAGGTGCAGATGTGGATAATGTAAGGTCTTGTTTTCAACCTGCTTTGGAAGAGTAGGAGTCCAGGTAACCTCAGCACTTCTGAGTGTGGGCAAATTCCTGCTCGTGTGGAAAGGATGAGAGTTTGGAGAGGTGGCAATAGTGTTAGTTCATTACTCAACAACCTTAATGTAACTGGGCAGGACGTGAAACCCTTGTTTTGTTTCATAACCCATTTGAGTGCAGACTGCTTTGTGGTCTGATGCTTCTCAGTCCATGTAGCTGAGATTTTCAACCACGCTCAGGCTTGTATTGACTCTTCACCTTTTGAAGACATTAGGAAATCAACTGCAATTCCTGGTGGGAGCAGGCTGATGGCAGTGCCAGGTGGCTTTGGGAATCCTTCCCCAAATGCTTGAGACCTTACTCAGGCCTCTGGAGATTGCATATCTGGGTTGGAGTTGTTGCTGTTTTATGGTGTCTCCAGGGTTTGGTTGTAGGGTTAAAGGACTGTGTACCTGTCAGAGAGGAGAAGGGAAGGCCACATGCACTGACACCCCAAATCACTGTTTTGTTTGGGCTTCCCAGCCTTCAGATATCTGTGTGCTGCTTTTACAGCCTTTCAGTACAGCTTGTTCTTGGATCCTCATGGTCCTGATAGATTTTTCTCTTTTCCTTTGCAGATAGCAGCAGCATCTTTTTTTTTTTTTTTTTTTTTTTAATGCTCAAGAAACAAACCCAGTTCTAAGTTGCCAGAAAACACAAGCCAGAGACTCCCTTTCTGGGGCAGCTGAAAGCTACAGCCATCCCCACCAGTCCCACAGGACTGCTCCCTGCCTCTGCTCCCTGTCTGTGCAATGCTCCTGGGCAGCTCCTGGCACGGAGGGATGACAGCTGAGATTGGACCAGGCAGCTCCAACCTGCCAACCTTCAAGGGACCATGGTCTCCCACTCACTGGAGAAAGGAGTGAGCTGCACAGATGGCTGGGACACTGCTGTCACAGGCTGTGAGACCACACCAAGCCATGAACAGAAGGAGATAACGTGGTATTTTCAAAGGGACACAAAATAAATAATTACAATCTATTCTTCCCTGAGCAAGTGGTTGTTTTGGGGTTTGGGCTTGAGGAGCAGAGGGTTTGGGAATTCTGCTCTCTCTCCTGGTTCTCCTTTGGTGAGAAGCATCATCCTGTCTGGTGCTGTGCTTTTGGAAGGGAGTTCTGATGGCCATGGTGTCAGTTTGAGATGTGCCAGCTGTGACTTTAGCCAGCTGGTGCCCAACAGGTCTGTGAGTCTGCTCTGTGCTGTTTTGAGGGCAAAATCAAGAATGAAGATGGTGCTTCGAACATGTTGGTAGTTGCCTTCCAGTGTCAAATGGTTATTTCACAGACCAGTGTTTCTGTCCCATCTCTCCAGGGCACTGAGCTGTGACAGCAGTCTGTGTGCAAGGGACCTTGTCTCTGGAATCCAGCAATCTCCCAGGACTGAGCACAGCACCAAGCTGCAGCCCAGAGTCTCTTCTGAGCATCCCTGATGCATCAGTGCTCCAAGCACAGCTCTGAACCACAGTGTCAGGTGTTTCCACAGACCCATCCCAATGAACAGTGCACCCCCAGCTCCACTGCACCATTTTAGGTGTGATCTATGGATGGTTCCTGGGTTGCAGGAGTTTCTGGGGTGCAGCAGCAGGATGGGCAGCGACATATCCCATTGAGGGAGAGTCAGCAGCCTGTGACATGGGGGATTGGCAAAGTGCCTGTTCAGGCTGTGATGCAGACTGTCAGATCAGAAAAATGCTGCACACGTTACTGGCCTTGCTTATCCACTTCATCTCAGGGATGCAAATGATAAGGAATGACCTGTGTGTGCTCATCCCAGGCCAGGCTGGGATTTGGACCACACTTAGTCCCTTTGGAACTGCAGAGGCCGTGGTTATGCTGGTTCGAAGATGGGGATTTGTTTGGTGTGAAGCAGCTGTGCTGCTCCCTGTCTGTGCTTGCCCTGGGTGTGGGTGTAGGGGAGGAAAATTACTCTTTGCAAATCAGAAATACTCAGGCATTTCTCTGCCCTGCTGCTCCCCAATGGCTGAATCCCCACCAGGAGAGTGTGGGGTCCCAGCCTCAAGCCACTGCACACAGAGATGCTCTGGCATCCCCTAAACACCACCACTGCACCGAGGGTCTGAGATCTTTCTGCACAGATGTAAACTGATTTGGCTTTTTAAAGCATTTTTTAAAACCCAACAGTGCATTTATGTGTGGAACTGCAAGTTCTGAATAACTCTTGGCTCAATGTACAGGCAAAAGGGCTCAGATGTGCTGAGTCAGTGAGTTCTCCACGAAGGCTGCACTGCCCCGGCCCCAGCTGTTTTCTTTGGTCCCTTTCCAAAGCCCGGGGCTGGTGTCGCAGCAGGGACAGCGATGGCTTGGCTGATGCCACAGCTCCCTCTGCCGGGACCAGGCCTGGGAGAGCAGGACAGGGCCCGCAGCCCGCTGGGATCCCCTGTGCCAGCAGCCCCTGCACCCTCGGGACAGTTCGAGGCTGTGATCACTAAATTCACCCTGCTCCTCATGCACATCTGAGCCTCATCCAAGGCCTCTGCCCCTTCTCTGGGTAACTGCCAGAGCATCAGTGCCCACCATGAACCAGTCCCCAGCCCCAGTTTCCCCGGGGATGGATTGTGCCTTTGGGTCTGTGCAGGGTGCAGGAGGGGAGTGATTTGCCATGGCTCACTCCATTGCCACTCCCATGCAATGGCAACCAGTTTATCCCAGCAGATGACAAAGAGAAGTGGATCTATTGGCTTGGCACCCACTGGAGACTTCAACAGGCCAGGCACTGGGATGTGGATGGAGAGTATTTCAGAGGTCTAGGCACCTGGGGTGTGCCCACTCCCTGACTTTTGCTGTTTTGCTTAGGAGCACCCAGGCAGTTGCTGATGTTGAGCTGATGCAGGCAGAGATCCTTTCTCCCAACTTGTCTTTCCTTCAAAGAGCCAGTGAAAGGTTTGGTGACATGACAGCACCCAAGTGCCATGGGACATGTCCCTGCATAGCTAAGACCAAGCCCAGAAATGCCACTTGGGATCACCAAGCCCTGAGATCAATGTCATCACCTCTGTAACACAGGGAAAAACCAAAACAGCTGGGGCATCAATGCAGTGTGGCACTGAGATGGGCTCTGTGGGATGAGGAGAGTAGTCTGTGGAGTTAAGGGGGCTGTCATTGGCCCCAGAATCTCCAGAACAAGCACCTGCATTTGGATCTCATGCATGTTCTTTGTCTCAAGGTTGGGTCCATGGTTTCCAACCAAGTTTGTCCCACAAAATGTGGGGCCACAGCCCTTGCAGGACACAACATCCAAAGCCCTGGCCAAAGAGATGTTTCCTGCATTCCAAGCCCCCCATCCAGCTGGGTTGCACCATCCCACTGGGCTCATGATGGAGCATGAGATGGGAACGTGGCTGTCCCCAGGTTCTCAGAGCTCAGCTTGCCCTGTGGCTGCTCTGCCCATCGGAGCTTCCACGGGGGAACCTCACGGTGCTCATTACACTCCACGACCGAGAACAACAAGCTCCTCTTGGAGAGGGTGCTTGTGAAAGCAGGGTGGAGGCCAGGGCTGGCACACCCTGGAGAACACCCTTAAATACCCTCCCAAACAGAAACCCAGGCAGGCAGCAGGTTTCCCTGGCCCGCTGCTGCCAAGGAGCAAACACTGTCCCTGTGGCTCCGGAGCTGTCAGACACAGGGCAGGTCCTGCCGTGCATGGCAGCAAGTGCCCATCGGGGAACCAGTGATCCTGGGGATGGTAGTCCTGTAACTTCCCAAGCCACAAACCCCAAACCACCCTGTGTCTGTGTGAAATGGGGCTTCCCAGCAAAACCAGTCCCCTGGGTTTAGCTTGGACACGTGTTTCCTTGTCCCTGACAGTGTTGGAGGTGGTGTGTAGGGAGTGGAGAAAGGCCAGTGGGCCATGCCAGTGGTCCAGGCATGCCATGGACACTTCATCCTTGAGCTGGACAGCCCCAGCTCCTCCACTGAAGGAGCATTGCTCACTAAAGTGATGCTGATTCCCAGGCCCTGCCTTTATCCCCAGGCAGCTGCTGCAAGGGGGGTTATGTTTGCACTCATTAGCACTCAGATGCTCCAGACCCTGGTCTGGAGTGGGGAGAGAGCAGGGGAGGTTTTTGGGCAAGACTGAGCTCATGCAGAGGTGTTGTTGGAGATGTGGGCTTGCAGGATTGCAGCATTGCAGCATTTCTGCTTGGCTGCTGGGTACCACTGCTGGCCCGTGGGGACGGGGCTGCTCCTCCAGGCTTCTGGCAGCACCTGGATGGCACATGTGCTCGGCCTTGCCATGTGGGGCTGACATGGGAACTGAGAAAGGACACCAACCACAGGACAGCAGACAGCTCCTACAGGCAGAGAGGCCCAGGGGGAGGCATTTCACTTGGGCTGGGGCATCTTGCCCTCAGCCCTGCCTGGTGCTCCTCTTCCCCAGGCTCACCCAGAGTTGGTGACAGCCATGGTGCCCACACCAGAGGGTGACTCTGGGGTCTAGGACCTGCCAGGCCAGCATGGGCCATTTCACCCCACTTGCTTAACTATTTCCTGCCCATCCCACCAGGGATTCACTTCCTGGCCCAGCAGCTGAGTAATGCATGGCTACAGGACAGAGGCAAGGGGATTGTTGCAGAGCACCTCCTGCATGCTCTGGATTTGCTGAGCCTTGCATGTTGACCCCTGACAGCCCAGCACAGGGATGGATACAGCACTGATATGGCCTGGGTTGGATGCAGCACCTCACAGGGGCCTTGCAACTGCTTTTGGGAGTCTGCATGGCTATTCCCAAAACCAAAGTGCCCCAAAAGGCAGGAGCATGGACACAGCTCAGCATGTCTTCCCAGTGACAGTTGCTGGGTGAACTGGGAAAGTGGGAGAAGCTGAGGGCCATTTTATTTAAATTCTGACTTAAGAATTTACAGAATTTATTCTGAATTCAGAATTAACAGGGAAAATAATTTTCTACATTTCATAAATTCATAAATTTTCTACTTAATGCAATTTATAAGTACTAGCAAAATATCAAGCAATGCCATGGATTCTGACACCAGTTTTTTCAGGCTGGTGTGAACTCCCTGGTACCCATTGTCCTTGTACCCATCATCCTGGCTTGCTCCCAAGAAGGAGCACAGAGCCCCACTTGCAGATAGCTCTGAGCATGCCAGGGGGGAGCCAGGGCAGAGAAAGGTGTGAGACACCACCAGTGCCCTGGGCCCACTCTGGATCCATCCCAATGGCCACTGACAGCACAGCTGGGAAAAGTATGCTTGGAGCACACCTGAGCATTCCAGGACATCACCCAGGACATCATCCCCAGCTGCTGAACATGCCTGGTCCCCTGTGAGAGCCAGGCTCTGGCACAGCCCTGAAACCAGCACTGAGGATGGGCTCACAGGAACACTGCTCCAGGGAAACTGAAACTGGCAACTATTTTAGGAGGACTTGACTTGAGCCCAGTGGTGGAGCTGGCTCTGTGCCACTCCACGTGCTGGGGTGAGAACTCTGAGCAGTCAGGCACAGCCCCAGCACCACAACATCCCCTGGGTGAACAGAGGGTCAGCTCAGCGGGGACATGTGGGTCCCAGGGGTGATGGCAGGTGGGGAACCCTCAGAAGCTGGGACAACACCAGCAGTGGCTCCTGAGCAGTGCTGGTAGCTGTGACCGTGCTGTACCTGGGGCAAACACCTGCGCTGCAGGACTGATGCTCTGGATGACCTATGGATGCTGCTCTGCACACTCTGCTGGGGGAAAAGGCACTGAGGGGGCTGTGGGACCCTTGGCTGGTGTGGGGCCCGGCCAATGACTGTCACTGCATGTACTGTGGCACTGCCTGCCCAGGCACCAGGGGTCCCTGCTCACAGACCCTGAGCTCCGGGGTGGCTCTGAGGGCTGTGCTGACTCCAGCTTTCATCATTATCCCTCACTTTATTGGAATGACAGAGACAACGTTCCTGCTGCTCCTGATCACTAAGCTTTAAAGTTTCAGATGGTACTTTGACAACAACTATATCTTCCTGTTGCAGGACTCCAAGCTCTAACACATCAGCACTCTACACAGCCAACTGAGGCACCCAGCCCAGAAAGTCCTGGTGGGACCAGGAGCAGCCATCACCAAAGGAGACACCTGGGCGAAGGCTGGGCCACCCAGCTCCCCATGGAACTGCACTGGCTGGAGCAGCAAGGGCAGGGCTGCCAGGGTGGCATCCAGCCCAGAAACCACCTAAACCCAGACAGTGAGCAAGCATGGATGGAATTTCCAAGGGTCCCATCTCCTCTCTGTTGAGGCTGCAGCCACCACTGCCCGGGCAGAGGCAGCAGCAGGCTCAGCACTGCTCTGGTCCAAGGACGGGCTCTGCCCTCGCAGGAGGCGCCGGCGACAGATCTGTCTGCCACAACATCCCTTTGTTCCCATCCATTATCTCTAGCCCAGGAAACAGCGAAACTGGGCAGGCATGACCATGCCCAAGCAGAGCCTGGGACCCTCGCCCATGCTCACCCCCCAGGACACTGCCCTGGGCTCTCTGGCTGTTTTGGAAATGCACCCGTGTCTGGGATGGCCAGACTCGACACGTCCCCATCCCTGGAGTGCAGTGCCATCAGCTGTGGGCAGTGCTGGTGACCAGGGTAGAGGAATGTGTGGGAATTCCAGAATGCCAAAAGGCCTGAACAGGGCAGAAGGCGGATTCTGGAAGCCAGCCTGGTGCTGCCTTTTATGTCTGAAAACCCCACAGCCTGGTCCTTCTCCACAGCCACCCACAGCCCCTGAGCTTGGCACTGAGGCTCGGCTGACCCGGGCTGGCTGCAGCTCACAGCACCGGAGCCAGATGGGGATGCCACCCCCAAACCTTTCTACATCCCTGGCGCTGCAGACCTCCCATACCAACACCCCTTATTTCAGCACCTTGACCCCACTAGTGTTTTGGAGCAGACTTCCCGGGGCAGGGGGATCCCCTGGGGTCCCACGAGGCCTGGGAAGGCTGAGCAGCACGGAGGAGGGATGGGGAGCTGCACAGGGCATCCATGACCCCATGGGAGCCGCTACCTGCGGAGGAGCAGCGAGCCCAGCCCTCGGCCCCGCTCAATAACCGAGCTAACGAGAGCCGCTGTCAACAAGTCCGCGCTCCCCAGGCGGCGCAGGAAGGACGGGGACCCGGGAGGAGAAACCTGTTTCACTGACCTTGCTCCATCACCGCCTTCTGGCTGCGCCGGGGGCGTTGGGGGCTGCGGCGGGGGGCGAGCGGCCCCTCAGGGGCACGGCGAGGAGCAGAAGGAGGAGGAGGAGGAGGAGGAGCGGGGCCGGGGCCGCATCGCCGGGGCCGCGCCGGGCGGGAGAGGGCGAGCCCCGCTGGGTCGGTGCCGGCGCTCGGCGCTGCTCGCTGCCTGCGGAGCCTCGCTCCACCCCTCCCCGCTAATAAAGCCTCCGCCGGTCCCTCCTTTGCCACTGACTCACGGGCTGACCCAGCCCCGTCCCCGAAGTGCCCCGCACTTCCATTTTCTGACCTACAAAGCCCGGCTCGTCCCCGCCGCTCTCCTGCTGCTTTACATAACAGTGCCCGGCTCCGAGCGCAGCCCCGCGGCCCCGGGACGCTCTCCAGGGATGCCCGAGGGGCGCTGTCCGGGCTCGGTGGGTGCCCGGTGGCGGTGTCCGGGCTCGGCCACCCCTGCCCAGTGGGCCCGGCTGTGGTTTCGTGGGTGCTGCACAGCCCTCGAGGGCTGGCACGCACAGACAGCAGCTCCCCAAAGCAGGGGCTTTGCTCGCGTTTCGGGGGCTTGGGAAGGGGAGGTGAGCAGCAGGGGCTGTTCTTGGCGTGGTGTCCTGCCTGCTTTAGTGCCAGGGAATGCCTTCACCCCACTGTCCTGGTGCTTTGGCACCCCTCCAGCGCCCCGAAACCCGGACAGTCGGGTTTGGAAAGCAGGCCAGAGATGGCTGAGGAGGTGGAGGCTTTATGGGCACCTGTCAGACTGTGATGGGATGTGCTGGACTCATCTCCACATCTCCACTGCTGGTTAGGGATCAGCTCTGACCACATCCTGCCTCTTCTCCTTTCCTCTCACCTGGGAAAAGCAAAACAGCAAGCTTTTTTTTTTTTTTTCTTTTTTTTTCCTTTCTGCCCCCTCCCCACTCCCAGTTGCTTTCACAAACAATGACAAATGCTGCTTTGTGTTCCCCAAAAGGTCCTGAGGTGGAGGATGAGCATCCCTGGGTGACGGTGGGGATCAGGTGACAGCACCTGCCGGCATCCCTGAGGGTGTGGTTGGGGGTTGGGGGCCCGGGGTTGTTCGGAGGTTGCGGGGTTGCCCGGGAGTGGGAGCCCCGAGCTTTGTGTCCAGGACTGGATGCAGAGCCAGGCCAGGGCGCGCTGGGACAGGAGCTGGCCCAGCAGCGCCTGGTGTAAGGGGTTACACACTGCCGGGCAGGCAGGAGCTGGGGCAACATCGGCGTGTCCGTGACCAGAGCCCTGCTCCGGCCCCAGGACAGCACCCACGGGAGCGGGGACAGCCCTGTCCGTGCTGGGCCCCCCTCACACACCCGGGCAGGCAGCGGGGGCTCCCTGCCCGCACCAGGAGGCATTTTGGGGGGGCCAGGGCAGGATCCCGGTGCCAGCGGAGCAGCGTGGCTCCTCCCAGCCGGCACCAGGTGAGAGATCAGCCCCGCTGTTGGAGGCAGGCGCTGCGGGTGTCACTCCCCTGGCCCGGGGCTGCTCCCTCGGCCGGGCAGGGATGCCACCTGCTCGCACCGCCGTTCCCAAGGGAAGATCAGCTCTCCATGCCAGGGGGATGAGCAGCTCCCCAGCCCTCCCAGGATCCCACAGACACCGGGGGCTGGAGGAGCTGGCATGGAATGGGTGTCTCCTTCTCGGAAGGGTGCCAAAAGCTCGCTTTCTCACTCCCTCAGGGACAGGGGATGCCAAGGACCGTGCCAGCCCTGACAGCAGGATAAGGCTGTGATGGGACTGAAGGCTAAAAGCATTACCTTTTTACACTGTTCCTTCCCAAAATTACTGTGTGTGTAAAGAAGGGCTGGGAGCCGGCAGCCCTGAGTCTCTCTCCTCAGATGTCCTCCCCACCCTGGGTCCCCACCAGCCCTGCCACCAGCAGGGACTGAGGGCAATCTGCCCTGCACTCCCACGGGACAGGGAACGGGCACGGGAGCCCACTCACAACATCACTGCGGGCTTGTCTTTTGGAAAGGCAATTTTGTTGCCCAGAGGATTTTTTCTGTGGGAAAGGGAGGCCTGCTGCTGTGGGAAAGCAGAGCTTATAGGGATATTTCTTCTGTGGCTGACAGCAGGTTTTCTCCCACTCTGGAGCAGATGGAGTGCATTCCTAGGTGACAAGTTGTCCTGTGAGATTGGGAAAAGCCATCAATCCATGCTCAGGCTGAACCTGAGATTTCCCATGAGCTTCAAGGAGGCTGGTTCCAACAAAACACGAGTCTTAGTCACCTTTCTTCCGGCGAATTTCCCAGTTTTCTGAGGATATCACCTTTGCCACGTGCTAGAAATAAACATCCTTCTTGGAAGCAGGCTCAGGCTGGGCAGCAGGGCTATTCCCAGAACTGCCTCTGGCCTCTCTTGGTAAATGCTGCTATCAGCTCCCTGCCTGCCTCCAGCTGGCCGTGGCCCAGCCAGGGATGGGACTGCAAGATGCCTTCTGTGTTTTCCAGTGGATCCAGCTGCCCTTGGGCCTCCAGGGCTGGCAGGTGCCAGGGTGGTGCCGGGCACCTTGTGAGCCCTGTGTGTGTTTCAGAGGAACCTCTGGGCTGTGCCAAGGGCCCCGTGACGCTCATGGTGCCACCGTAGGCGCTGCAGGAGGCCAGCCTTATCTTGCCTTGTGCCAAGCTTGGCTCATTGTTGATTGTTCTCTTCCCAACAGGGAAGAAAGGTAAAAACAAACCCTACTTTTTCTGCAGAACTGCTCTCTGAGTCCCCATTCCTGGTGTGTCACTGTCCAGGTCTGACACTTCTGGGGCAGCAAGGACCCTCTGGAGCCACAGGGCCATCTGATGGACCAGAAGAGCCCTTGCAGGATGGAGCAATGGCTTTAGGACTGAGCTCTTGTTCATTTTGGACTCAGCCTCATCCCTGTAGTCCTGCTCTCCCTGAGTCCTCCAGCACAGCAACTCCCAGAACCAGAGGATGGAAAACCCTGGAAATCTGGTGAGGATGCTGAGGATGGCTCGGAGGCCCTCTGGTCCCCTGGGCTGGCAGAGCAGCTCTACCTGCCACAACAGCCTCTACACCCACAGTTTAGCCCTAACCTGGTTTCTATTCCCTACTTTTTTTTTTTTTTTTGGGCCTCCTCCCTCTTTTGCTGTGCCCCACTTTGCCCTCCTGCCAGTGAGCTCTGGCTGCTGCTGACCCTGATCCCAGCAGGACCTGGCTGAAGTCAGTAATAAAATGCACCAGTGAGGTGAGGTTGCTTGGGTCAGGGTGGCTCCTGCTTCCCCAGGCTGGGATTAAGGAGCAGCACATTGGATTTACCTGCAATGGCTTACAGTGGGAGGGGAAAAGCAGGAGGAATGGGGCCAGGGAGACTTTTCTTTCATGGGAAAACCAGCTGGAGGATTAGCAGCTTTCCTGGTGCTTGTTTTCTTAGTGGGCTGAAAAATGCTGTTTTTAGGGCACTGGGGATGGAAGGCAGCTTCTTCACCCAGTGCTGCTGGCAGGACTGGGTTTGAAGCCATGTGCCAGCCTGAGCTGCCCCACAACCTCCTCAGGGCTCCTCCAGATATTCCCTTGGTCGACTGGGATCCAGAGCACTCTTCTCCAAAGGTGTCATTAGAAGAATCGTGTTTTTCCAAGCTAACTGGTTGTATGGGTCTGGCTGTGCTGATGAAATAGCTGCCAGGCAGCATGTGAGTTATCCCTCTGGATGGCAGGGAGCATTGGGCACTCGCTTGGAACAAGAAACAAAAACTGCCCTTGGTGGGTGCCTGGTTCAGCAGGGCTCTGGTGGGCTCTGTGCCAGCTGGGAAGGATGTAATGGACCAAGTGGACACACTGGGTGCTGCTTGGATGTGTCCCATCAGGATGGAGCTGAGACAGACCCTCTCCTCATCCCCTCAGCTCAACTAGAACCTCTCTGCAGCCGCCAAAAGTGGGAAATAGGTTACAGCCACGCGGGACCGGCGAGGTGGGGATGCATTCTTGGAGTCCAGCTGGATTTGGGCAGCCCTTTGGCTCCCAACAGCGTTCCAGTGACGCAGCACTCTGGATTGCCAGCCCGGCTCGCTCCGGCAGCGCTGCCTGCGGGCACGGCGTTACATCACAGCCCGCTGCCCTCGCCTGCCCTGCGGCCGCGCGGCACCGGCACCTGCCCGGGCACCGGGGCACCGCACTGCTGCTCGCACCCGGGCTGGCACCGCCCTGCCGCGCCGGGGAGAGGCACGGGCACATGCCCAGAGCAGGGCAGTGCCCATCTCAGGGGCAGGGGCCGCATCGTGCAATCTCTCCTCTTGCCAGTTAAAGCTTCTCAATGAGCAGGGAGCTTTCTGTCTTGCAGGAATTCCTGGTTTCCATGAATTCGAGGTATCCTGATACCACAAAGAACAACAACAGAGTAAAGACACAGCTACTGGTCAGTACCCACCTTACTCTGGTTTCTTAAACTGGGCAAATCCAACAGCCCCAGCAGAGCCTGTTCAAAATCTCCTGGGGGAGAAAGGAGGAGGCGCTCAGCTTTGAGCCCTGCACTCCCTCCCTACCCCTTTCCCTTCTGGCATGTGAAGCCAGCAGTGGAAGCTGGCAGAGGGAACTGTCCCCCAAAAGCAGCTGTGGGTAGTAACACTCAGCCACCCTGGCAAACCACCCTTGCTCGGTCACAGACCAGCCCAAGGTGGCAGGTGCTGGCTAATGCCATCCTGGGGTCCCCATCCTCCTGCTGCACACTGAGGAGGCTGGAAAGGTCCCTCTTTCCTCGAGAGGGCAGAGGATGGAGCCTGGAGTTATGCTGCCTGCTCTGAGTGGTAAAAATGCTGTGTGGGCGTCTGATAGGGAGCTGCTGGCCCGGGTGCCTGCCTGCAGGGACCTGTGTGTGGCCAGCCCCAGTGGCTCTGGTTGGGACCAGAAGGACACCTGGGAACTGGGAAGGCTGGGTTGGGTAGTACCACGTTTACAAGGAGAAAGATATTCAATTTTTGAGGACTGGAAGTGTAGGGTTGTGTCCAGGAGCATAATTCCAATCACTGGCTGCTGACTGGAACTGGAGCCATGGTGGTTCCCTCCTCAGGGCTGATCCTTGCCAGGACAGGACCCC